GCCTTGGCCTTGTTGCACGCGAAGCACGCCACGTTCTTGGGCAGCTGGTAGTGGCTGGAGTTGAAGAAGCTCGTGTCCTGCCACCCGAAGCCCGACCGAGCTGCCCGCGACCTCTTGGTCGACGTCGGCAGCTCCGCCAGCTCCTCGCTCGACCGCTCCGACCACCATCTTGCCCGCACGTCTGCGCTGTCCACACACTGGTCCTGCTTGGCTAGCCTGACGCATCTAGCGCAAGGGCGAGTATCGCTACATGCAGCCTTGGCTTTCGCACAGACGATACATGCTATATGTACCTGATTGCAATGGTGTGACAAACGTATCAGATGCATGTGGTTGAATGATGGACTACCTGTTTTCTTCTCTTTTTTTGCCCTGTTTCTTCGCAGATGAAGTCCTGCTGGAAGTGGTCGCTTTCTGAACTCATCTGCAAAGTTTTCATGCTCTTCATGCTTGAAGCTGCATATCAAGTCTTCTTAAGTGATGGACGAGGAAAAATATTGTTCATGAGTACTGCTTGGCAACTGGCCTGCAAAATTTTGAAGCTCACTTCACTGCATCAGTTGAGAGTGAAATAAAGTTGAGAGAGGAGATGTGTTAATATCAAGACAAAACTAATGATGATAACGGAGACTTGAAATGCACAAAATTATTCATCCTTTCTCCGTTTGCTCTTTCTACCTACTTTCCTTGTTTCGTGGCCAGCTAATCATTTACACCGAGGAAGAATTCCGCCCTGGTTGCTTCCTATCCCTTTGACCGTATGTCTATCACACAACTTGGAGCATGTAAATCAATCGCCTCTGAGAAAAGAATTCTTCTCACTTTCTACGTCACGTTCTTTCCAACTTCTATCTCGTTCTTGGTCACCGTCTGCCGCAACCTTCGACGCGCTCCTCTTGATTTCTAATCAAGTTGTCGCAAGCAACTTCCACTAGGACTCAGGAGCAGACATCTAGCGCAGTTCCCGCCTATCCCTGCAACCTAACAGCACTCTTCTTTCCTAGGAATGTCGCTGCACAAACAGCTCTTTTCATTCCCTCCATGGCGACTGAAGGATTTTCTCCCCTCTTCGTCTCGTCTCATCTCTACGTCTCGCCATCCTTCCGCGCGGGTGTAGCTTATCTAGTTGTGCTATCACGTTGGTCACGGTCTAGAGCCTTCCTAGGACCACTTTCCTATGTCATACTATGATCTCGAGATCTATCTTTATCATAGCCCACCCGTACCCCTTGTTCCTAGAGTTCACACACCTGCTTCTTTGACCACCCGTCCGTTCTACTGTCAAAGGGCTCATTATTGGCCCTTTTTCGCTTCAAGTCACCACCCCACCATCCAATTTGACCATCTGAAGTTGCTCGTGTCTCACTTCGACCCTACCCTACACGAGTATATCTCGCCTTACACACGTCAACCCGTGCTATCCCCCACCCTCCTGCTTACTACCCTCTACCCCCCTCTTTGTCATCCTTCAACCTCAACCCCTCTTCCCAGATACAACTCCCTCCTCGTCCCGTGACTCACTTGAAATTTTCAATCGAGCCCTCGGTAGAAATACCCCAGCAGACCTACTACCCATCACCCTATGATGTGTCCCAGGGAGATAAGTACCCTTGTGACCCTCCACCCCAACTCCTTCATCATGTACCACCTACGAAAGTCACATCGCTACCAGCGATGACCCCCTACCCACCCCAATGGTTGGAGCATTGACCATTCAAGGCTGTATCTCGAAAAGTTATTTTTTCACTCTATCTCCCCCTGCGGACAAACCCGTAGTTGTCGGACGGGTCCTTTTACAGCGATTTGGATGGTCCCTGACGAAGGGGTGCCCAATCTTTACCACACGACGATCTTATGATTTAACTAAAATTGCTTTGAAAGCAAAAAAAAGAAGGGGAAAATGTAAGAAAAAAGAAAAAAGAAAAAAGAAAATGAAGGGGAAAAAAAAGGCCGTCGGGGTCGGACACTGTGAGCATGGCAGGCTGCTTCCGAAGATCCGCAAGGCAGGACTTTGACGCCGCAATGTGGCTGCTATGACAACCCATGACTGCACTTGGAAGGCTACATGCAACACATGCTCAAGGCTGAATTCTTCATGCGTTCTTTCTTAGTTGGGGTGACTGATGTAGGGGAAAGAACAACGGTCTCACGTGCAGACAATCGATGTGGAAGTCGTTCTTAGTCAAAGACATTCACATGATATACTTTATGATTGTAGATGAGCTGCCAATAAAATCAAAGAACCAAGTATGCTTACACTCTTCGCCGTGGCCCTTTGCGTGAGCTTCTGCTAGACTTCATTTGATCTTGATTGTAAAACAATGATCACCTATTATCCATGTTTCGAGTTACGCGATGGACACCCCACAGTATTGCTCTTACTGAATGGATTCGATATATGTCAATGATTGCCTCATGACAAGCTCTCATCCCATCTAATGAGCTTCAGGCTTACCTCAAACATGAACTATTGAGCAATTGCAGTATCTGCACCGTGTGCATCGCAAGGAGTCATGAGGAACACTGATACGACTTGCACGGCCACGAAACAGGATGCCAGGGCTCAATATTCTACCTGAAAGACTGCTCTAGCTTGTGGTGATCTAGTAAACTCATCCTAAATTGTGTTGGATTTTGACTCGCAGGGGCTGTTTTTCAACACCTTGCTGCTTGACGATCTTTTCAATCGCATCGCAGAAATCCAAAGGTCTCGACGCAAGCAATGGATACAAACAGCTTTCCGCCTCGTGATTGCATGATAAGAATTCATCTTTTGCTCAAGAGAACAGAGACCTTTGATCTTGATGTCCTACCCTATCGCAACCGAGCGCTCTCCAATAAATTTCACGACAAAACCCTGTTGCAACACCTCGAACGGCTAGCGTGTTATAGAGGCAGCGAGGTGTTGAAAGATAATGTAGAATGGCTGTCAGCACCAAGATTTCACTATTTGTGAGGCGAGCGCGATTTCAAGAGGATTTGCCCGTTCGACCAATGTCCGCAAGGAGAAACTTAAGGATAATCGGTTGAAGAGGCTCTTGCATCGGTGAAGGTGTATCGATGCTAGCCTTGCTCTGTGAGTTCTTCGTATGCTGGCGCAGAGCTTGACGACAATTGAAGATACAATAGATGCCTTACAAAAAGAACTCAGCTGTTACTCAACTCCATTCATTATCCCATAATCTTTTGATGCACAAACCAGCCGTGACAACACCGTACACTGGTGCAACCACACTGCTGTAGAGTTAGAGCGCAAGAGCTCGGTGAGCTTGCTAGCACCCACGGACTCCACAGTCTGGAGTGATCCAGTCAACTTCGCGCCAACTGCTCCAGTCGTCTCACGAACTTTCGAAGGTTTCTGGTGTGAAACAAGATAAAAACTTCCAGTGAAGCTGAAAACTCACTCAACGTCCGGATGAACCTGGTCGATACACCTGTATCTGACATGAAACACAACTGTCTGCTTGCTGGAAGGGCTCTGTCGTACCTTATCAGTGCTCCTTCTCCTTCTCCTACTCTCCTCCATTTTGCGCCTTTCTCCTCCATTTTGGGCGCCTTTCTCCCCCTTTCCCCTAGATCCAATTCGTGTGGTTTCGATGCCATCGACTCTTCGCCTCGTACTGCCGGCGTACCTGTAAAAACCACCCCACCCCTATCGAAGCCTTTCCAGCCTCTATCAACGTACCCCTTCTAGTATCAAAGATTTCCTCTACGCCGCCTCGCCCCCTTCCAGATGTCGGTCAGCATCGACCATCTCAAGGATTCTTCCACCCCACCCCACCACTTTACCCTCGTTCGACCCGTCCAGAGAGCCTGGAATTGAAACCCCGTCAGCGAAAATCATGGACGTGAAGTAAAGAAGAGTCAAGGAGCGTAGGAGGAGGATGAGATGACGACGAGGGCGTTGAGAATGCGTTAGAGGATAGCACAACACCACCTCTTCATGTCATCTTGACCACCTGCTTCCCCACCCTCCCTTCTGACCACCTCCTACCCTTCAAGCCCACAACCACAAGCTCCTCCGGTCATCGGTCCTCACCTTCCTGCTCCTCGCATCCCGTCGTCATCACGATGCATCCACCCCCTACCACCCACGGCCAACATGCCCGCCTTCTTTCATGCAGGCTTCTTTGAGCTCTTCCTTTCCTTCCTCACTTGTTGTTATCGCTTTCTGTTGTCGATACGCACATGGGTGATGTGATGTTGCTTTCGTGCAAGCATTCCCGCAGCCTTTGTGACATCTATGATATTCTATTTCGCATCTCTCTCTCCCCCTCCCTCCCACCTCTGCTCCCTCCCTCTGTCCGTCCGTCCCTCTCTCTCTCTCTCCCTCTCCCTCAGCTGTGTGCCCGATCTGCTTGTTAGCGCATTTGCTGAGCATTTTTCGTGTCTGTCATGTTTGCGTTACATACTCAAATCGAATGAATAATGCGCTTGCCGTGATTGGTTATCATTTCTTCGCAACTGTGAGTAATTTCTGCCTTGGCTTTGACTGTCTTGATGGTAATCACTTTTCGTTCTTTGGGTCCGAACAACGCATCAACCAAAGAAGCAAAATAAGATGGTAGAACAAAAGCAGAAGTACGCTCAATCCAGTTTTAGAAAGAAAGCATCCTAAAATGAAAAACTTGACACTAGGTGGAATGTGTTACTAGTACACATATTTGAAGTTCCTTGAGAAAAGAATGGTACCTTTTCCCTTTATTCTACGAATCTAGAGCGAAACTTGTCACCCTTTCTCACCATAGCCCTGTGTCTGTCACCCTTCTCTTGTGAAGGAGCACTGAGAGTACGAGGGTGCTCGTGCGCTTTGCGGAACACCAACCTTGATCAGTTTACTGCGACAGTAACATGGCAGGGGGCATATATGATCAAGCTTCTGATGAGCGTGAGTGATAAAACAGCTTGATGAACAACACGATGATTCTATCGAGTATTCTACCGCAAGTGGTTGGCGGTCATTCAGGTATCAAATAAAAATTGCATCATACACGTCTGCAACCTCAACAGCAAACTGGAAAGGACCAGGAACGAAATAGAAAGGTGAAATACAAAGTCTTGCCAAGAGTAACGACGAATGTGAAGGTTCATGCAAGAAACCTGGCGGAATGAGGTTGTCCCTCGATCCTCCCCGCCTCACTTTCCCTCTCCTCCCTCCCTCCCTCCCTCTCTCTCTCTCTCCCTCTCCCTCCCTCCCTCCCTTCCTCCCTCCATGACGATTGCTCTGGTGGTGTTTCCTGGTTGTTGTCTGTCCTTCCCTCACAACTCACTCTTGTTCCGAGTCTCTCCCTTCATTCCTCCTGATCCGCTTCCCCTCATCCTCCCTCCTCTTCTTTCCCTCCTTCCGTCCTCTCCTCACCGTGCGCGCTTTCTGACCATCGTCTACCGCCATCCTGCACTCAATCTTACGCCTCCCTCGCACTCTTCATGGCCGCAGACGCAGCACACTCAGCGACTAATCTGGTTACTTCTTCTCTCCTATTCTTCCCCTTGCTTACATGATGCCGGAGAATGCTCAGAGCACTCACTATCCCCTTCTTCTCTCAGGCAGGGCAGGAGGGCACGTTCTCTCCGCCGGAGAGGAGATAAGCTCGCGTTTTCGGGCATAGACGAGAGGGTAGAAAGGGGTCGGGAGGAGGCACTGGGCAAGGATGGAATGTGGGGATCGGATGCCGCATGTTCCTGATGGGGTTGAAGCGGCAGGGAATGTGCGTTTATATGTTGCCCATCCATCAGAAGAGGAAGCTGGGCATGCAAGGATGGTGGGGCATGCAAGGATGGTGGGCCAGGGTTCCACCATACCCCTATGATGTTGACCCTCCCCTCCTCCTTACTCTGCATGGCAGCAGCTGCTTGGTTTGCGGCGGCTGCTGTTCAGGAAGCAGAGGGCTGAGAGGGTTGTGTATCGCAGAAGAAACAACAGAAGGTGACAAGGACGTTTACTGTCATCGAGCAAGATACTGGCTCCTCTATACCTCCCTCCCCCCCTCCCCCACCACCCCCTCCTCTTCCTCCTTCTGCCCCCATGGCAGCCGCCATGGCCTGTTTTTTCTTTTTTGGACAGGATTTTCTTTTTTTTTTTGGTGTTCTTTTTAAATATGTTTTTTTCTTTTTTTGGTCAGGAATTCTGCTCCTGTCGTTTTTGTTTTCTTACATTCTTTTGTTTTGTTTCCTTTTACGCCTCGAGTGGCGGTCTTTCGGTAGAAGGATTACGGTAACGAGGATTATAGAATGGGGATTATGGTAACAAGGATTATGTTATAGAATGGGGATTATGGTAACAAGGATTATGTTATAGAATGGGGATTATGGTAATAAGGATTATGTTATAGAATGGGGATTATGGTAATAAGGATTATGTTATAGAATGGGGATCTGACAACCTGCTTGCGAGCGTTCAGGCGAGACATTGCAATTATGGTCTGAGATTATAATACAAAGTTGACTATCATTATGTCACATATCGAGTCTATGATACAACTAGTTGACCCCGTTCACCTTGGCCCTCTTTGCTCCCCTGGCAGCTCCTTGATCGTCTGAAGGAATACAATGAGATTATGAATGACAACCACGAGACACGCTAAAGGGCAATGACAGAGCATGGCAGGCAGGAAGCATCGGTTTCTCACCGTTCCAGGAAGAGGCGCTTGAGACTGCCGCAGCACTCGGCACACCGTGCGCCTGCATCGGGAGTGAGACAGCTGCGGCATCCTTGTCGACAGTCACTTGGACCATGCTCGCAGGAAAGGCTTGCGGGCTTTTGATCAGCCTTGCGTTCTCTTGTCGCAGATCCTGAAGCCACAGTCAAGGAGCAGCGGAGAAAGCAAGCAGGAAGCAGTACATTGTTCTCTTGCTTGAGCTTCAGCAGCTTCGTGTTCTCTTGCCGTAGCTCTTGGATCAGTGCGATGGCTCCTGCAACAAACGAAAAACATTCACACACACGACCAGTTCATTGCAAGGGCTCAAACCTTCCAGGACGCCATTCTTGTCTGCGAGCTCCGCAGCATCAGTCAGCTGCCGCAACTCATCGTAAAGCGACCTGGATGAACGTCAAGCAAGATTGAGCAGCAAGCAGTGATCTCACCTCATGCGATCTCGGCGCTTCCTCTCAATCTTCTTGTGGTACTCTCTCCTTGCGATCCTCCTCGAAGTTCGTCCGTCCTGGTCTCTGTGCATAGCAGGCGCATGTCAGCTGGGTGTACAGGGCATTGCTGTATCACGACACCTCGTCTCATCATCCGAGTCTCCCCCTGAAGAGTTGTGATTGCATGTTGTGGAGCTCCCTCCTGAGTTGTTTCCAGATCCATGGGCAGTGAGGGTGATTCCGATCCCATTCCTGCTGCTCAGGTTCGAGATCCCCCCGTTCGGTGCCGCTGCCGCTCGGTTTGGAAGAACTGCTCCCATTCCAGACGTGGATGAGGATGTATCGGACTGTAACTTTGTAAGAGTCAACACAGAAAGGCTCTTTTGTCTCACTGGTTGATAGGTTGTTGATGGGTGTGTGCCGTTGGTCATAGGATGGTGCCTTGAGGAGAGATCAGAGAATCATCTCAACGTGTGCAGTCCTCACCCAAAAAGTGGCAGAACGCTTCCATGCATGCCTCCTAAAGTGCTCAGAGGGACTTGAAGGACGCTGGGATGCAACCCCATCTGCAGTGCCTGGTACTGCTGAATCTGTGCTCCACTAGGCAACGAGGTTCTGCGAGAGGGGAAAAGGAGCATGTAAATGATCTGCCGCATGTCAATATGTGAGGATTCTTACAATCCAGTGAGGCCGTTGGAGCTGAAACCAACATCGTCAGCATTGATAACTTCGCACGAAAGTTGCGCTTGCCTCTTGGATGCTGGGCTGGACCCAGTGAGCATGAGCCCTGAAGAGAAACCGTCGCCCAAGTTTGTTGGCTTGCGATTAGCTGATCCATACTGGGCATTGTAGGCCATAACAAAATTGCCCATCTGCTGTCCAGCTACTGCGCATTGTCATCAGTGTGGAATTGGAGTATCCATCGCAACTCGTACGGGAATGCTTGGTGAGTTCGTCTGTGGGTGTGGACATGGGGGGCAGCAAGACTTGAGCGTTTTCACTTCCTTTTGCTTCACTCCCAGAGCGTATGCTGCAAAGAAGTCGACAACAATCAGAGGCGCTTCAACAAGAAGGAGAATAGTTGTACCTGGGTAGCATCGGTACGTTCTTGGTATCCATCCTGTTGGATGAGCTTGTTTCAAGATGCAGGAACAATTTGCGGTTTGATCTCTTGCAGAAAGTAAGCAAATTAACTTAGAAAAACGATCGTCACCTCCTCAGTTTAGCCACAATTCATGACAAGCTTGTTTGTTTTCGACCGTTTTCCTCCAAATTACTGAACGAAATTCGATCAGAACGACCATAAGACAACTGTAATCTGATCCAGCATGCTTCTTCAACTTCACCTACATGTCGCTATTTGCTAATGATGGAATATGCATGGCTGCAGTGATCGTGTTCCTTGACAATGTCTGCCCCATCACTGCGAGCATGCCTGCTCTACTCAAAGGAGTGCCATACTTTTCGACACCAAAACGGAATGAAACTTTTGGATCCGAGCTGAGATCTTCTCATACTGCTTAGACTCATGAAGTGCAAGTGTATGGTCAAGAATTGATCTGGTCTACCTTCCCCACACTGCAGGTCAGTCATGACCAAACTGCTTCCTGACATCGTCTCATTCTACAACGCCCTCAACACAGCATGAAACGCTATTTGAGACGATCAAACATGAAAGAACTAGCCTGTCTCTGTCTCTTCTTTGCCTCTGCTCTGCATCTTCGGCTGAACTTCTCCCTCCCTGACACATAAGGCCAACAGTAGCCAGGGCATTCCAGACCACAAACGAGCGAGGGGGGGCTGCCAGATCGGCCCGAAAAGGGGGTGGGGTTATATACCTTACGGGTGCTTTAAGAAATTTCCTGGGTCCAAAAATGCAGAAGTGGTACCACCACGGTAAACAAGGGGGTAGTTCTAGGGTAAAATTAGGTGGGGGTACATGATACCACGTACGGATGAGCCACCCTGTGCGATACATAGGGTTGGGTACGCGTCATGGGGGGTGGGGGGTCCACTTGGATCTCGACTGGATCTCGTCATTGGAGGGCAGGTATTTTTTTCGGTGGACATGGACTATTTGAAGAATTCGACCTGATTATCTATCATTTGGAATTACTTTCATAGCCCCTCGGACCCCCACCCCACCTGAGACTGTAATTGGGCACCCAATTTAGCAAGATTGGTCCTGGAATGCCCCTCAGATTTCGGTGTACTCCTCAAAAATGTTTCTCAAAAGGTCCCGCGGACCCCTCTTTGGGCCCAAAGGAATAAGTCGGAGATTGGGACCTCGGGATTAAAACTTCTTTTTAAATGTGGGGCCAGATTCTTACGAGATGCCACGAGATCGGAATCTCGGTGAAGAGGACCACAACGTTCCGCAAGGAGATCTCAATCTCGCAGACCAAGATACCTGCTTAAGGGGGAGTGGAAGGGGGTGGGGGTCTTTTGTAAGGGTCCTTCGTCGAAAACGTGAAGAAGATTCAGTGGTCAGTACCGGTGCTGCTTTTTGATATACCCCCTGCGATGTACTTTTAAACCACATCATTGTTGCGGCAGCAATTTTACAACTATGTGTACAAAAGTTTTAAAGTATGAAGCACAATGGCACGCGATCCTACTCCTTGGAATACACCTACAGTACCCCTTAGAAATACCCATCAGTACCCACCCTTACTCCTATAGCTTTGAGGGTGATCATTTGTTAAAACACTTGTTATTCAAACAAACAAAAACGAAGCCCCCTTTTTCTGCCCAGTGAAGACCACCCACCCCACGTCGTCAAATACATTAGTTTTTATTCACTTACCCCTCATTTTTCCCTCCAATCACCCTCCACGGGATAGCAGTTCCCCGATGGGACCCACCCCTGATAGGGTACTGGACGGTGGCCGGAAAACACGTCTTTTCGCCCACTAATCGGACGCTTTGACGCATGACCCATCAACTATGCCTCAGGAAATTAATCACTTTTATTGTACCGGAGTCCAACAGCCTCGGACGGCCCGGCCGGGCCGGACCCGGGCCGGACCCGGGCCGGGCCCGGCCGGGCCGGGCAGCCCGGCTACAGTTGGGAAAGACGGTTATGGAAAGCGTAACTGGCACTCAAGACGATTTGGGATGTCATGGTTGCAGTACCCGCCGAGTGGCAGTAGGAGATGCAGGAGGAGCAGCGGGACGAGGGAGGCGGAGGTGACAGAGAGGGTAGAGAGGATGCTTGCTCTTAACCATGGTTGATCTCTGCCGCCTTTGCCATGCTGCTGCCACTTCGATGCCCTTTTAAAACTAGACGGAAATGCGGGGTAGAGGGAAGAGACACGTTCAGGGTCGGGATGGAATGTTTATGAGAGACAGACATACTGATAGACAGGGATGAGAACAGTGATGTGAGAAGGACTGTGCGATACCGGCGGACAAGTCAGACCTCGAGGCAAGACAGAAAGAAGCTCCGGTCCACAGATTGGTAGCATGTGGATTTGATGCGAATGACACAGAAATAGTGAGGCTCAAATAGCCCGGATAGGTGGATAGGAATGCACCTCGTAGAATGTAGCAAGGTTCGATATGCAAATCGGTGAATGGGGTTGACCAAGAAGACGTGACGACCCGCAAAGAGAGAATAACGATGACGGTGGTGAAAGGAGATGAAAATATTGACGATTGATATTCCAGCCCGCCTCAATCATTCTCACCCACCCCGTGAAGACTCGCCGGGCATGGCTGTTTGTGAATCGTCGTCGGTGGCCTCGTACGCGTCGCATGACCGACCCCCGCCGATGAACCCTGAGGTTGAATGGAAGCGTCATCGACTGTCCCACTAACGAGGTTGGTCAGGTCGGGATCTACCCGGAGCATGCAGACGTGTTGGATGAGGTAGTTTGGTGCGTGCTCTGAGTTGGCGGGTGATGTGAAGCTTGCAGGGGAACATCCCGAACATCGACTCTCTCGTTCGAGACCTCAAGGTGGTGGAAGCTGTGCAGGTAGCCGACGGTCAGGAGGCATGCGGCTGATGCCTGACGGGTCTTGGCAGATCCCGACGCAACGACGACCTTCAGATGTAGATCAGAGTGATGACCGAGGCAACAATGGCCCTGTGAGCCTCTTGCATGTTCAGACTCTCATCGCATCTTGTTCTCTTGCCGACTCCTCTCTTGCTGTTTCTTCCATCTCCTCACTGTCCTGCCATCGCTGGATCTTTCTCGTTCTACCTCCTTCTCTGATGTGTGCTACTCGTGCAGATCCGAGGGAACAACTTTCGTGGATCGGATGGCGCGCCTGATCCGGAGCAGGCTCGCGCTGCCAGGTCATCTCCCTGCACTGCCATGGCCTCTTGACTTCCCGCGGTGACAGGGCGGAAGAGGAGAGGGAGCGACTTGAGCGAGAGATCCGTCTAGCCGAAGATCCTCAACAGACTTCTGTTGTCCTCGGTCATCCTCCCTCCTGCTATCCTGACAACCCGAGGCAGAGGCCGGACCCAAGGCTCGAGGAGGAGGAGGAGTTTGTGAAGCAGAGGATCGAAGAGGTGGGTGGGAGAAGGAATTTCTTGCTGTAGTGACAGGGTGATTTCTTTCAAGGTTGAGGAGAGGATAAGAGTGATCCTTGCGAACCCTCTTGGACAAGATGGGTGAGTTGTTGTCTTCCACTGTGATGTTTCCTTGGTGGACGCATTCGTGATCTTCTGGAAAAAGTGATAGGAGAGGAGGGAAGGACAGGACAGGACAGGACAGGACAGGACAAGACAGGACTTGTTTGCAACTTGCTGATTGTTGTCGGTAACAGTCTTGGGCGCAAGAAGGTCTGGAGAGTTCGCCCATCGTCGCAAGTTTGGACACAAGTGAACATCGGTGCTGGGAGATGCGCGAGCGACGTGACATGATGATGTAGGTGGTGGGAGAGAAGAGCGTGTCTGAAGTTGTAAAACAATCAGCAAACGGTAATGCAAAGATAGGATAACCGAGAGGAGAACATGCTGATAGCATCGGACCTGACTTGTCTGCAGTCGTTGCTAGTGGGGCCATCTCGGCTGTTCGCGGGACCGCAGAAACTGTTGCGAGTGGAGCTACGTAAGAAGCAAGCTTCGAGGAGAAGATGAGGAGGGGGAAGATCGGGAGATGTCGAAAGTTGAGACGAAGACTGGGTGTTGAAGGAGAAGGCAGAGGCTGTGAAAGGAGGGAGCAGATCCTTTGAGCTGTTGGTGGCAGTGGAGGAGGAGGAGGAGCAAGTGGAGGAGAAGAGGAATGAAAATGATTTTCTAACCTGCGACCTTGGTAGGACTGTAGCATCATGGAGCTACAAGCCGACCTTATGGTATGTAAGGGACAGAGACAGGGACAGGGGGAGAGATCGAGAGAGCGAGGGTGGAAGAGTGAGAGAGAGAGGAGAAGGGAGAAGGGGAGGTTGGGGGGGAGAGGGAGAGAATCAGGGATGAGAGAGGGAGATCGCCACCGGGTTGAAACTTGATCTCTTTTTCCGTGATCGTCTCTTGGTAACTGACTACACGTCACTCAGGACTGCAGCTGAGATCGCTTCTGGGACAGGTTGACACTGATAAACACTCTTGAGGTGCTCAGCTGACTCGTTTCTCCAGCGTCCATGGTAGCTACAGGAGCATACAGGATAGCTTCAACGGTTGCAACTGGTAATGACAACTTGAGATATGACGTCTGAGGTCTTGGCAAGTGTGTGAAAGCAACATTCGATTCGGATCAGAACAACAGAAGTCACTTGTTACTAACATCTTGTTACTTGCTACCCGCCACTTGTTGCTCAAACCTCGCATTCCTCTCTCCGCATTGACTGTCCTCCAGGTGTCTATCATGGGGCCAACGTGCTGGTGGAGACGGTCGATGAGCACAAGGACGAGCTGGGAAGGCTGCAGTCGGTGAGCTGGGCGTTTCAGCTTACTTCTACTGACACGGTTGCTTCAAGGAACTTTCAGAGCTCTCCGACAGGTCGGTGTCAAAATTTCCCACCTCTCGTAGCGACATGTCAAATTAACATTCTGACTAGCTGGGCACAGGCTGGGGGCTATCGATGCCAAACGAACCAACGCAACGCTGAAGATTGTCAGCCCGTGCGAGGTGAGAATTCCTTGCTTCCTGTCCCGATCTCGCTTACCCTCCCCCTCCCGTTTCCCCTCCTCCTCCTCCTTGTCCAAAGCTGCCGCTGTCAATGCCTTCCTTTCATATGGACTTATTGATACACTGGCATCATCATCATCATCCTCGTCATCATCATCATCAATTCTATCTCCATCATCAACAACAACAACACCACAACCACCTCCATCACCATTTGCATCATCATCAGTACCCATTATCTCCGCTAGCATCTCCATCATCATCATCTCCATGTCCATCATCATCATCTCCATCATCATCATCACAATCATCATCATCATCATGTGCTCCTCTTCTTACTTCATATCAGGGTTCTACTTGGTATTCAAATCATGCCTGCAACATCATTTGGGAGCATACCGGATGCATTCAGGTGAGAAGTTGAAATTGGAAACAGATTTCTCCTTTTTCTGCCTCTAATTTTTGCAATGAGCAGGAATTTCGAATATACATTGGAAAACGGTTTTCACTTGGATGGACTGAACTGGTAGAGCATTCGGGCATACGATCACTTCTCATCCCTTTTTATTTCGACCTCCCTCCTCCTCCTCCTCCTCCTCCTCTAACTCTCCCCCTCCTCCCCAGTCTTCTCTATCCCCTCGTGTTCTTTCTGTCCTCCTCCTCCTCCTCCTCCTCCTCCTCCTCCTCCTGACGCCTTCAAACACAGGCACGAGGCCTCTCCAACACCAACTCCTTCACCTACCTCGTCTCCCCTCAGCTAGAGCGCGGATCTTACTGCCTCCGCATCGACGGCCCCTGCGGTTTTCCCAGCTTCACCTCGCCCTATTTCCGGATCGAGCAGGAGGTATGTTGATCCACTGCGCTGAGACGAATGTGTCGCATGCTCGCAGTGCAAAGGAGGAGGAGGAGGAAGAGGAAGAGGAGGAGGACAGAAAGAACAGGAGGGGATAGAGAAGACTGGGGAGGATGGGGAGATCAAGGCGAGCAGGTGGGAATGGGAAGGACGGGGGGTAGGGGGAGGAGGTGGAGGAGCACAGAATGAGCAGGAGGAGACGACGAGGAGGATCGCATGTTCGTGTTGAATAGCCGCCCTTTCCTCACCTCACCTGCCTTTACCTTTTGCTGTCCTCTGCCGACCGCCATGATCCTCGCCACCCACCCACCCGCACCTTCCCCACCACCACCAGCAGCAGCAAAGCATCTCCTTTCCTATCCTCTCTCCTTCGCTAACCCCCCTCTCCCTCCTCCCTCTTCTCATCTTCGTTCATGACGCTTTCCTCGCAGACTCCAGAGCTGATGTTGTGGATAGACAGTGACAAACTTCAGTTTCACCGCGGAGAAATCTGTCGAGTCTGCTGGACTTACCAGCCAAGGCAACAATCCTTCACCTTCAGCTCAGCAAGGCCCCAGGACAACCAGCTGTCATACAGCAGGTTTGCTCCTTGTCCTTCCATACTCCCCAGCTGCCGTCCACCTCGTTCTCACCCTTCCTCCAGCAGAACCTCCCGCTCTTCTTCCTCCTCAGCTCCTGCGTCCTGCACATGCTCTCAGGGGGGTCAGGCGTGCAGCGCCTGCCAGGGGTCGATGCCTCCTCCTCCTTCAGTGAAGCTCTACCTTTCAACGGGGTTCATGAGCTGGAGGGTACTGGGCGAGTCGCTTCCTTTGACCGGCTCTTTCCTTTGGTCTATCCCATCCAACTGCCAGCAGGGCTCCTACCAGCTGCAGGCAAAAGTCAAGGGCAGCAAAACCCCCTCCTCGTCCTCCTCTCCCTCCTCCTCATCCATCACCACCTCCTCCACCCCCTCTTCTTCCTCTTCGCAAGTCCTCTCCCCCGTTCTCAACATCTCTATCAAGGATGAAATGTTCATCGTGTCCCCTGTGGAGGTGAGTTTCGAGGCATGAAACGATGATGACGATAATGATGACGATGATGATGATGATGATGGTGGTGGTGGTGGTGGTTGTGGTAGTGATGACGGAGATGGCGATGATAGAGGTGGTGGTGATGATGATGATGATCATGATCAAATGACTTGGAGTGCTGGCAGGGTACTGAGTGGGTGATGGGCAAGTTTGCCACGATCGAATGGGTTTGCAAAGGTCCGAACAAAAAAATGATGAGTCAAGAAAAGGAAAAGGAAGGAGCAGAGGGGGGTGGGGGGGGGGGGGGGTCGGGGTTGAGCAGAAGCAGCAGAAGCAGCAGCAGGAAAAGGAGAGGCGAAGGAACAGAAAGGAGGAGTGAGAAAGAGGAAAACAAGGGAGCAGCATCAGACAAATGAAGGCAAGCTGCAAAGATGTCGAAGCTAGGATGGTTGAAAACCTCTCAGCTTCGCGTGTTCAAGAACAAGATAATAGAGACTGTGATGATGATGGTAGAGATGGTGATGAGAAGCAGAAAACAATTCGTCTTGTCTCTGCTGCCTCGCTCATTTTTCATTCCAGGAGCGCAAAGGGATGATATCGTGGTTTCAATTGGTTCGAGATTCTTTCGACTTGCAACGATTGCAGAAAAGCAGCCTGAACAAGGATCAATGTGAGACTTCGTTTTGAAGATGCTGATGAGGACGATGGTGCTGGTGATAGAGATGATATTGATGGAGATTATGGAGATGGAGATGAAGGAGATGATGATGCAGATGGAGATGGAGATGATAATAGAGATGATGGAGATTGAGATGAAGGAGATGATGATGGTGGTGGAGATGGAGATGATGGAGGGTCTCAGTAATGATGACAACTCTCTGCACATTACCTCTGATCAATCTGCAGACAATGGAAGGTCCCCGAGACTGGTATCAGAGCAGGTGAGATTGTCTCTTTTCATCCACCTTGCCTTTCTATCCCTTCAATCACTGAGATATCTACATTGTCCTCCTCTCGTCCTTCCGTTCTGTCCATTTTCATTTTCCTCCTCCTCTTCCTCGTCCATTGCCTCTTGTTTTCACCTTCTTTTCTCGTTCTCCCCTTCAATTGCATTCTGGCCCTTCAGACTCGGCATGATGTTTATTTTAGGATGGTATTTCCTGTCCATTCACGCAGCATCAAGGTCTGATCCATTGTCAACTTCTCTTTCTGTCCTCTCCTCTCCTCTCCTCTCCTCTCCTCTCCTCTTCTCTCCTCTCCATCCCTGTCCTCTCCCCTCCTCTCCTCTCCTCTCCTCTCCTCTCCTCTCCTCTCCCCTCCCCTCCCCTCCCCTCCCATCTCTCTTCTTTGCTGTCTTTGCCCGTATCCCTCGAGGCTCCTCCTCTGATCTCATACTTTACAGTCGCGTCTCTGCCAAGAGCGGGTGGATTTACATCAAGGATCAAGCAACTATGGAGGAGGATCTCAGAGAAGAGGAGGAGGCAACAGCACAGACTCTTGAAGAGGACTCAGACACAGCTGCGAGGTACTTCATCCCCCTTCTCCTACCCCCCTTCTCCCATCCCACTTCCTTCCTCTTTCCCTTTTCTTGCTTCTCTTCCTCCTCCCGTTCCTCCTCTCTTGTTCTTCTTCACTCTGTTCCTCCTCATTCCTAAGGCACTGGATCCGCCCTTCAAAGTGTGTGCATCAACCAGTCCTGTTTCCCGTTCCTCCCCGTAAGTCCAGAGCCCGTTCTGATCGAACCTTTCTCTCACTCCAGCGCTCCTCCTCCTCCTGCCTTCATTATGGACTCCTGGCTGGCGCCTCCTGCCCATCTCGATCGTGCACCAGAGAGTGCAGGAGGAGGCGAGGAGAAACAAGGAGGCAACGGCAGCGAGAGGAGAGGAGTGCGCTGCTGACCGAGGCTTGTTTTCATCACTGATACATAATATAAAGAAATACTTCCGTTCATGGCTCCGCACTGCTCACTGTTGAGTTGCCACCAACTGGCAGTGACTCGGCCACCGTGTCCGGCGCATGGCGCGGGCCGCACGGTCACCCGGCGGGCCGCTGGACCGGTCCGGCGGCCTGTGACCGTGGCACCATCGCCCTGCAGTCCGGACGCACTGCCGCCGCGGCCGAAAACTTGAAACCTCTAAGGCGCGCGGTGAGTCCGAGTGGCCGGGCACCTCCGAGCCTCGGAGTCACGGTCATCATCCGATCGGAGGCCCGGATTAGTAGTCCGACCGTGATCATTAAACCGTTAGTATCTGAGGAGGCGGCTTTACCGGGCCCCAGCCTATGGACTCGGCCCGGGGAAGGCTTCCGAGTTCGGAACGTCGGAGAGCCCGGCGGCCGGCCGCAGCCCGTACCATGGCACGCCCCCGGCCAGTCGGATTCAATCAGTGAACCGTTGAAGTTCATCATGCCAAGTTAACACTATTCGATGTCACCGTACACAGAGTCAGAGCCTGTCTCAGGGCGGACGGTCACTTATCAGTATCGGAGTCACTGTGACGGGTGACGGTGACGGTCCGATGATCATTACGTACGGTCCCTCCGAGGCTCCGAGGCTCCGAGCGGCTTCCCCGTTGGAAGTTCCGAGCCTCCGCTGAGCCTGGGCTGGTACTGTACTGGGAGCCCACGCCGATGCATGAGCCCGGTCCATGAGATCGGACTCGGCGGGCCCGGGGGCCGCCCGGCTGAAGTTTCGGACTGGCTGAGTCACTGAGTTGCAACTTGGAACGAACTTCTCGTGAAACTTATTAGCAACTAAAACTGATTTATAACTTAACTTTGAGTAAAAGTGACAGTACTGTCCTGGTACTGCTTTTTAACTTAATTATTATTTAGCTGTCAAGGTTCGGGGGTTTACTTCTTCCCCTGATAAATACTGACCTGGTTCGAAGCCATGTATTCCTCCTGCCAAACCTCTCCTGCATCCAATCCCTCTTGCTGCCATTCATGTCGCAAGAAATCTATTCCACCCATCACGACACAAGGTATGCTTTTGTCAATAGAAGCGCATACCTGCGACTATTCCCATGTACGCCGATGGTGTGTCATGTCTAGGATCATACATCCTGCCAATCCATCATCATTCCACATCCAATGCATTTTGACATACGGCGGGGACAATGGCGGATGGAGTTGCGTATAGCATTGCGTCGACAGGGGACTGAAGGGGCGGGGCAGGGGCTGGTGATATGGAATGCATCGCAGAAGAACCATACTTGTTCCCGGACTGCACAGGACGAAGAGAGCCTTGCTGAAAATCATCGTCTGACATATCCTCTGTATCAAGAGAACTGCCTATGTCATTACAATCAGGTGGGCCAGCCTTACTATCAAAAGGCATATGCTGTGATGTATCATCATCACCTACTTGAAGACCTGCCAGTACTGTTGTGTGACTAACATTGACCGTGGCGGGAGAAGTAGGCATAGATTGGTCTGCCAGTTCATGATAAAGACGACTAGCCGCTTCCACGAGGTTCCCGTCAAGCCTCCATCCCACGAGTTGATGTCCCTTCGAGATAACTTGACCTATACGAAGGTTGGAGGAAAGCCCCAGCTGAGAACGTATGGTTTCAACATGGTGCATGAACGATGTGGGATGCAGAGCTGCCATGGCGCGGCGTCCGCGGCGTGCTGGAATGGCCAGATTTGTTGGCGGGAAAGTAGTACCAAGTTGGAGAGTTTGTACGGGGTCGTACTACGGTACCTTAGCAATAATTGTTTGTAAAGGGCAAATGTAACTTAAATTAGTACCGAGTTTGCTATTTTCATACTGTTTAAAATAATCCAAGAAGCGTTACTATCCAAACAATTTGTACTATTTATCCAATTGTCCTATATCCATGATTTTGGACGCGTTTCTGTCGAATACCCCCAAGGTTCGCCTACTAGCCCGTCTGTTGTAGGATAGGCCCTGTGCCTCTTCAGGCACTACCGCTTACGGTCGTCTGCCTCCAACCACCCCCTCAGAAATAGGAGGACCGGTTCATTTCCTATTTTTTAACTTCAACGCTACCCACCCTGACAAAGTTTACATAGACCCCCACCCTCTAAATGGAGCGGTCAATGCCCCCGAAGTGCGGCAATTCCTTTTCGCTTCCGCCTCCAGGAAACAACCCAGGACCCTCAAGCCAGCACCTACCCCACCCCCAGCCACTCTATCGTCGATCACCATCTACCCTTGCCTTAGTACACTGGGCCTCACCCACCTTGTCCAATCTTCACCCCACCCTCCTAAGAGGACACCTCTCCCCCATTCCCCATTATTAGTACCCATCGGGTTATCCGTCCATCCTCGGACCCCCCAGTCACACCCACCCACCATGGTCGACACCTGCAAACCTACCCCACCTCTCCCTCATTGACCGCGTTCCAACCTCCACCACCCCGTTAGCAGTCTATACGCTCTTCCAATTCAGCAACACACCCTGACGCTCGGCTCGTCCTCACCGACAGCAAGGAGCCAACGAGGCCCCATAGCTCGCAGCAGCTCTCAGGTCTGCAGCCTCCGTCCTCCCCACCCTCTCCCCTCTCCTCCTGCGCGAAGACCCCGTTGCCTCCAGTCACCTTGGCATCAGATGTGCACTGGGTTTGCTCCTTCATAGTCGCTACACCGCATGAGGAGTTTGCGCGCTTACCCGCTTGCCTTGTGCATACGTCTTCTACCTCTCATCGTATTGATCTATCCATGCCAATCAAGGCCAGCGTTTCCCTCTCATGGGCAAGACAGCCTACTCCTTGCAGATTATCGTTGGGGCGGCAGCTTTATGGTTCCGCGTTTGCAGCACAGAAATAGTCTAGATCACAGAAGCCCGAAGTATGAACTGAGCTCAGACCCTGCAAGACTGAGGAGCCTGCCTTCTCTCAGCTCCTCGATTCCCAACTCAATGGATGTTTGCAGGCCTTGCACCGCCAAAACATCCACGATCCCCCAACCTGATCAAGGTTGCGAGAGCATTTTTGAGCAGGCGCAATGCGATCAGCAAGGCTGTTTCTGGATGGGCTGGAACAATGGTCCAGGTTGCTTGAGCACGAATCACAGTTATACTCGTGGTCTCTGCATGCCAGACACGAATGTGACCATCCCAATCAAAACGTTCGATGACATGTGCCAGGAAAACTTTCGAGGCAAGACTTGGGCTTCAGCGTGCGAGGATCCGTATGTTGGAGGCTTGCAGGGATGCTGCTATAACTCGTTCACCGCTACATGCAATGCTTGCCATCCGCAGGGAGATTGTACCACAGCTGCCCAACAATGCTCTTTCACGTACCTCGAGAACTGTGGAGTGAACAACATCACGTCGTCACACCTGTCTACATTCTACCAGAGAAGAAACACATGCGTGCAAGGAGCTACTGGAGTCTACTACTGGAATGATCCTCGCATCGAGTTCGTGGAGAACCAGCAGGTGAGAAGAGCGAGTGGAATGCTTTCCTCTGAAGGGTGTGCCGTCTACTGCGCCAACACTTCACAATGTAATGCTTTCATCTACGAAGAACGTACAAGGTTTTGCGCCATGTACAACATGAAAATTACAGGAATATGCGACCTTCCTAATATAGCTGACTGCAATACCACCCGATACCCGATCTACTTCTTGGATGCAAACCGTACCTACTGCGAACCGAACGCTGTCGACTGTGCTTGTTCGAGAGCGTACTATCAATGTCTCGTCTCTTATAATTGCCCTGGTGACACAACACTCATACGCTCTCTATCAGACATGTGCTCTGCCAGGTAGGCTTGCCTTCACGCATTAACGTCAGTTGAACCTCTTTGCAGAAACTGTTCATCACAACAATGCGGACTTTATGGATATGCCAGCAGCTCAGATTTGTCATATTGTGCAAATAACTTTTTCTCCTGCTTAGTGCAGCCTTTCTCCAAATGTCAATGCACTAAGGAGTATTCAACGTGTCTAAATGGTGTTTATGATGTCGACGATATGGTTGAGCTTGGTTTCACCAGCTATGCCGAAATGTATGAATCATTCGTTTCCATGGATTATACATACCTGATGTTCAACAGGTGCGCACTAGAGGGATGCACAGCAAGCGAATGTGGTCTCCAAAACAAACATTGCAACAGTACATCATTCGAATGTACTGCCGAATATGTCACATGCACAAATTATGGCGTACAAATACAATGGCCAAACTCACAAAAGCTGCTCAAGTATAGTGCAGGTATTGTATTTTCGTTCGGAATGAAAGATATGTTTCTGACTTCAGATTTCAGCAACAAATTTGTTACAAACTAATGTTGGATTTGACAACGGAAAGTACTATTGGGAGCTCACTGCGGACACAGTATCTTCAGGAGACTGCTTTGGTGTTGGAGTGTTAAAGGATGGATCAAACTCTCTGTTGGACGGCGCATGGTTGTTTTACACTCAATTCAACTCCATAGCACTGTCTCCAACTAATACTGACGTCAAGTCAAACTTTAGTAAGCCAAAGTTTACAGTTGGTATAGCGCTGGACGCCAATCAAGGAAATGTCTGGTTTTCGTTAGATGGTGTATGGTTGAACGGCGGAGATCCAAATCGAAACCTTTCACCCAATGATCGCTTAACAAATTTTGTGACGCTTTATCCTGCTGTTGATATCAACTGTCCTGGATCCACAACAACGATTCAATCCAGGTTCAGGAGCAGTGAAATCATTTACTCCATTCCATATGGCTTTGTTCCTCCAATTGCAAATGAATGCTTTTGTAACAAAATCTTTAGGCAATGTATGAACACTGGGAACTGTTTGACAAATGAAATAGACTATGCTCTTCAGAATCAGTGCGCATCAAGTAATTGTACACCGAGCGAGTGTGGATACTCCACGCATGTTGGGGCCCCATGGTTGTGCAACAGTGATGTGATGATCCAATGCAACAATGAGTTTTTTACCTGCACTGCAGCTTACGGCTCAAGCTTTGAATGCAGCTGCACACAGAAATTGTTTGACTGTATGTCCAGGAACGACTGTCAGCCCAACGCGTCTTACTCGAATGAATTTGCTCTGCTGTGTAGCCTTAACAATTGCACTGCAGAGCAATGCGGGCAATGCCAGCCCTCCTGCAACATCACTCAGCTCAAATGTTCAAGAGATTACTTCTCATGTACGCTTGATGGCACTTCAGACCCGTGCGTTTGTGCTTCGCGCTTCTATGCTTGCGTGAGAGATGGGAATTGCATAACCTCGGATGTCTTGCAGTCACATGCCCTCATGTGCTCTCGCCATAACTGCTCAGCTGAGCAGTGCGGATTTACACAACAACCTGACGTCTGCAACTCGACACAGATGACTTGTGGGGAAAGGTACTTTGCTTGCAAAACGACAAACCCTCGTTTGCAAAACGACATCTGCCACAATAATTATCGAAGTGGATATGGGAAGGCTTATTGTACAGATCCATCGTTAGGAGGAATCATAGGCTGCCTTTATGACCCCATTCACGATATTTGCGAATCTGCTGGAGATTGCGAGTGCTCGAAGGAATTCTTTGAGTGCATGAGTCCAGGATGTGCTGATACCTCCCTCGCAAAACAGTTCTCTGAAATCTGTGTGAACAATGGATGCTCAGCGGAAGCGTGCGGGTTGAAGTACTTCTATTGCAATCAGACCTCGTTGTTCTGTGCGAACGAATATCTTGATTGCAAATTACATGAGACCTCTCCAAGAGACGATGGGAATATGAGCTTGTTGTGGTTGAAGGATCAATACCTCGGAGCTCAAATGATGCTTCCATACACCAACACGTCTTGCGATGATACCAGATGTATACAGGATTACTACTCTTGTATGTCAGCAGCTAATTGCACAAACACAAGTGATCTTAGGACATTTTTCCAGCTTTGTGAAGTTTCGAATTGCACTCTTGCTGAATGTGGCTACAACAATACCCGTGAGGAAGCGATGAGCCCCGACAGTCCAGTCCTTCTCCAACTGAGCTCGTTGCCAAACGCAACCATGCAAGTGGAATGGTATGACTCAGATCTTGCTACAGTTTGGGACAATGAGGGATCAAGGAATAGAATCATACAGTACAAGATTGTATTAGAAAGCAATTGTGATTTTGGCAATTCAATGGCAGTATCTTGCTCTGAGGAGATTGGAACAATGTTTGTTGTTTATGGGCAGTCAAGAATGGTTTGGTTCAGCCCCCTCAAAACTAAGCAACTCTACAGAGTGAAAATCTATGCGATCAATCGGCATGCCATCTCGCCCACTGCCCTGCAAGGCATAATCAGACTTGCTGGTAGATCCAATCCTCCAGCTGCCCTTTACGCGCAACAATCGGAAGCCAATGCGTTAGAGCTCTCGTGGAAGATACCTAGTGATACAGGAGATGGCTCACAGTCGTTCCCTCTGACTTCTTTCACACTCGAAATCGTGATCTCGTCTCAAATTCTTCACGTTGCTGTGGACCAGTCCGTGTCTCAATTTCGCATTAGCAAAGTCATTGGTGGAGACTTCATGTTTTGTTCAGACCAAAATCAAACCTGCGACTGTTATGGTCTTGTTCGATTTGGATACGGAGGAAAGTGGAGTTTGCCTTTCAAGCCTCCCTCTGGAAGCGTCATGTGCGCTCCTGGCCTAATCTTTCCTGACCTCTTGGACGGCAACATCGAATACTGTGAGTGTAGCT